AAAAGTACCTTGCGTTGGCTAGCAGCTACAACATTTTCGTTCCACTTGGCTCATCCCCAAAACGATGTAGAGTAAATCTTGTCATCTTCGTGTGTCCAACTTTGATTGTAAAAATTCGGGGTATATATTCCCACGAATGTTACCCTTTTTTGTCTTTCTATGCTTCCCATTTTGTGCTGAATTTTTACCCCTTCTGGGTGTTAAATGTTGTGTGTACACGTTACATAGTTGTGTGTATAATATTACGTAGCTGCTCACGTGTTGACCCGCGCGTGGACACTTGTTGATTCCCACGTGGAAGGCACATTTTGTACGAACTGGCTGCGAAGAGTAGTTTTTAAATTTGTCAACTTGGTCTACCTCCTCGAAAAATAAGTTTTGCCAAAAAAAAAAAAAAAAATTCACGTCATTGTATAGTGAAGGCATATAACCCTCGTGCGTGGATGGCCCACATATGTGGTTAGCAACACTGTTAAGATTTAGCAAAGGTAGGGGCCCCGTTAGTACTCCCTGCAATTATGACCTTTAAGATAGTACATGTAGACCCGTATCGGTTGTCTATTCCCAATTTTGAAGTTCCTTTCTGTTTTTCTTAAAACTTCGACCAGTGTGTATAGAAGCGAGGGGGAAAGCAGACGAAGTAGAGACAGACAAGGCAGACGAAGTAGCGACAACCGCGGGATGGGACGAAACATGCATGGGCTATACAGAAAAAACCAGCTGAGCGCGCCCGAGGAACACCTCCGCACGAACGCATTTTGTAGGAACAACCTGTTCAGCAGGTACGAAATAAAACCCAAATATTTTAACGTACCAACATATGAGGTTAAAAATAACAGCAATGAATGCTTCGAGAGGGTGTCAAACAATTCCTGGTATGATACTAGCAGTTTTAGGAAGAAGAAAGGTGCGTTTTTATTTTGCAGAGAACTGAGAAACATCAATTGGGGCAGCAACCACGATGGGGTGGAAACCAACTTGAGTGACGAACCACACGATGGGGTTGAGGCTTCTATAAATGGGGCGCTCCTAATGCAGGCAAAAAGTGAAGACGCCAAGAATTTAGACCATTGCGATAGTTTGCCCCAAGATGTACTATGTAGAAACCCAAATGACAAAGCATTGAATGATAAAATATCAAATGAGAAAGAAAAAAGAAGAAAAAAAACACTCCCTTCACCTAATGATGGAGTAACTCCCACGAGCAGCTTTTTAACTCTTCATGGCAGAAAGAAAAAGCTGCCCAAATTAGCAAAAATGCGTAGTTCCAAAAAAGTAGATAACGTTAGAAATGAAAAATGGACTCCTGAAAGTTGTAAGCCTTTGGAGCATGAACCCGCAGCAAGGTATCCCCACAAATGGGACGCCACCCATACGGTTAGTGGCAAGCTGTACAAAAAGAAACAAACGAGCATTGATCTTTGGAAGTACAAAAAGGAGGATAGTTTAAAGCGGTGCGCTTTTCATGAACAGGTCAACGAGAAAATCATTTCCAGCAGGGAATCAGTCGAAAAAGAAATTATGTGCCTACACAAATTGGATATACTTCCTGTAGACGACAAAATGAGGTCAGACAGAAGCGGAAAAGGGCAATTGACAACCAGTTTTAGAAAGATGAAAGAGAAAAGCGGTCACTGGAGGGAAAACTTAGCGGGGGTGTTACAAATGACCCCGTCTAGGGGAGACGCAAAAAAGGAGTCTCTTGTCCGTTCATACTTCACTTCTGAGGTTGCCTCCGTCAGTGTGATTGCAAGTGGAGGTTACACCCATGGGGGGAGCAAAATTGAAGAGAAAACCACACCAATGGGGGAAGAACAAATAAAGAAGATTATTCACCCCATTGGGAATGCCAAATCGATGGCTAGAGAAACTGCCCTGAGCAAAGGAACGTACATAGGTTACCAACAAAAGGGGAGAGGCTTATTGAGGGCCCAAAAAATGCTTCTAAACGACAGCAACCAGTGGGAAAAAACCAAAGAGGGGGGATTAGAAGAGGGAGTTTCCCGAGTGCCCACCTGGAACTGCGCAGTAGAATCATCGCCCCACGGAGAAGGCACCCCCCCAAACAGAAAACGAATGACCGATTCGTTAGAGACAGCAAATGTGGCAGATATAAAATATACATGCTCATCAGAGTACTCCTCCAAAAAAGGACCAACCATAGAATGTATGATGATTGAAGACGTCGATGGAAATAAGCCCCAAAAGGAGGAGCAGCAGGCGCAGCAGCAGAGGGAGGAACGAATCATAGGGGTGTCCACAAATGTACCACGACAGAGGAAAAATCTGCACCTGTTAGACGAGTCCAGAAATGAAAAGATCTTCTTCGACTCCCTTGTTAACGCCAAAATGTATTTTCGAATCGATTTTAAGATATATAAGCCCATTCTCATGAGGGCAATTACCCAAGTGAAGGTGTACTCAAATGAGAAGCTACTTCAGTGCGTTTACATTAAGGAGTACCCTCAAAATTTTTCTGTAGTTGTGCAAAGTGCTGTCCGAATGTGCAATGGAAAAGTGCTAGCCAAAATGAAAAATAAGTTAATTAACATCAAAGAAACAGGGGTTCTGAATTTTACGTATCTAAACAATGAAAAAGTAATTGGGTGTTCCCATATCAGCATTAAGCATCTAGTAAGTTCTGGAGGGGAAGGAGGTCTTTTCATTCCAGTAGAAGACCACACAGATTGTAGAAAAGAGAAAACGCCAAAAGAACCGTTTGTGGTAGGTTCTCTCCTCCCATTCGGGAGGCAAGAAATCAGCGTTTTAAAGTCTAAAATTTTTGTTCACTATAGGATTGACTGCCCCAGAAGTATGCATGATTTTATTGCATCTGGTGAAGTGGTCACAGCCAAGGAGAAAATTTCCTTCTTGGAGGATATGGTTAGACAATTGTATAGTTTCATACAAGATTCGGCGCTGCTGAGGTTCGTGAAAGGTGCAGGGGTTACACATGGGGGCAGTGAATGTGGCGCCGGCAATGGGGGGGAAGCTAGTCCGCAGGTGCCCTCCTTGGAGTACCAGGCGTGGAAAGAAACCGAGAAAGTAGAAAACGAGGACCAACACGCAGAGGGAGAAAAAGACGTAGACAGCGAAGAAGATTTACACGGCAAAGAGCACGTAGACGGAGGAAAATACGTATGCAGCGAAAAACACTTAGACGGCGAAGAACACTTATGCAGCGAAAAAAACTTGGACAGCGAAAACACCCGCGGTAGAAGTGGTCATATGGGGAACGACGATCCGAGGCAACGCGAGAAGAGCAGTCCCCCCAGCGCGATCAGCGGGGGCAATACTCCGGAAGGAGGTTGCCGAGAGACTAAGGATCATCTCCCCAGTGAGAATTACCCGCAAAATGGCGAAAGGGAAGATGAAAATGAGGTGACGGAAAAATCCGAGAGCAGCGATTTACAGGAAGGACGTTGCGATAATACGCCTAGCTCGAACCATAAAGATCCTCCTTGGTGTGATGTCATAGCCACGGGTAACCTACGGGGAGAGGCACCCAATCGCAGTGACATAGTGGAAGATGTGTTAATATTCAAACGGGAAGAGCAGGGAAGATATAGTTGCCAAGTTGTGGGTGGCAGCCCGGGTGAACGGGATAACCCCCATGTGGAGAGCGCCCTCCCTGGGCAGACACACAATGAGAATGCAGAGAATGCTGAGAATGCAGAGAATGCTGAGAATGCAGAGAATGCAGAGAATGGAGAAAATGCTGAGAACCGCTCTAAAGGTTGCAAAGACGAAGCAGAGGAAGGCGCCACGAACAGGTGTTCCCCCAAAGGGGTGCCTACTTACCCTAAGGGATCAAAAACAAATTACCCATTGGAATATAAAAGCAAGAAAAGGCAAATAGAGCAACTACAGAGCATCATAGCGGAGTATAAAAAAGAAATAGTCGAAAAAGTGGAGGAAATCCAAAAATTAAAACATTCAAACCATAACACTAATATATTGTACAAAGCCTGTTACAGGAAATTACAGGAAATTGAAAAGGAACGGAAAAGAACCGATGCAATGAACTTCCTACTGAGATTTGATGATTCCTATGCTAATAAGTTAACCAATCGTTTGGACACAAAGAAAGTCCTCCACAAAAGAAAGGTATATACAGAAACTGACGCAAATGTAATCATGGGCCCTGTTGTGCGAAGGGTAAACTCGCTGCGAAGTGCCTTAGTTGCGATAAACAGTGAAGAGAACAACATGGGTGGAAATGCCATCCGTAGGAGCGGCACTGGCACCGTCACGGGGGGCAGCACCTATGCAACCACGATGCGGAGCCTGCCGCCAGAGGGGAAGGAAAAATTGAACAAAAAGAAACAGACCATCCGCACCGAGTCCGACAACAAGGCGATTATGAAATTATTCGGCGCTGATTTGGGGGAAAACTCCCGGGTCGAAAAAGTCGCCACAACGAGGGGAATCATCACGGATAAGAGGGGCGACGTCGACCATTACGATGACCACTACGGTGACCAGTTAGGTGATCGCCGCGTCCTCCTGAGTAACTGCCAAATTAAAGAAAAAAAAATTGACGCACTTGTAAAAGAAAACAAATCGCTAAAGGAACGAATAAACAAATTGACCTTAACTGATGCGGAATGTCCCAGCAGAATACCTTCACTCAAAAATGTCTACTCCAGCACAAGGGAAAAGGACAAATGTAGAGCCCAGAAACATGCCAAATTAAGAGGCGTCGAGCAGCACTGCACAAACACAAACTACCTGGAGAATTCGTGGAGGGAGAAAAAAATTTACAATTACGCTGGGGTGAGGAACAACAAGTATAGCAGTAACAGCAGATTTAACTTCCCTCTCAATTTGATTAAAAGTTATTCTCATGATCCCATTGCGCACAGAGACGTGGACATCAATCAGTCCGGGTGCTAAATATCGGACCGGTGCATAATGTAACAATGCACGGTGGTCATTCCGGGTGTTTTTTTTTTTTTATTTTTTTTTCCGCTGCTTCTCCACGGGTCCTCCCTCCACTTTGAACTTATGCGTGCAGCTCGCCATGCCCCACAAAGAAAAGCGCTCATTTCATTGACGCGAACGACGTTGTGGCTATCCAGATTGGCCCCCTTTCAATGGGGGTGACACTTAACGAGCGAATTCTACTCGGAGTAGAACAGTTCTCCATCTACACCTTCATAAATTGTTCACTTAAAAAGGTGTTGCACGGTCGTGGGTGGATATTGCATTGGGGGCACGAATACCGAGTGGGCATTTTTTTTTACGTTTCTTTCCACTCTGGATTTCGGCAGCTCTTTTCACAATGAGGTACGCATCCCCTGGGTTTGTGGGGGGAAATATAGAAGTACTCCCCCAGAAAGGGCAGACACAACGATGAGCACAGTGCTCGTGTGTGTCTATAGACACGTACATAGGCAGATGCACATAGCCATAAAGGGATGAAGACATGTACATATGCACACATGCGCACATGCAACACCTGCACATGATCAACACGCTCCCTCGAGAGGAGCCGCTCCCCTCTTGCATGCTCGCCTCGCAGCCCAGCGGGTCAGCCAATATGTCACAAAAAAAAAAAAAATAAAAAAAAATTGAGGCGTCAAATGGTGGTAACTTCTCAGTCTAGCCGAAAAATTATAAAATGAAAAAAAAAAAATTACCCGCAATTTTCACCCTCGTTTTGTCTCATGGCGCCCAATTTTTGGTTTCCTTCTACAGAGAAGCAAATGGGGAAGGTACACGGACACTGGAAGGAAGCATAAATGATTCCAAATTTGTTTTACATTTCCTGGCTTCGCACATATATTTCTGCTTCCGTGTGTGGACGTCATTATGAGCGGGACAACGGAAAAAAAAAAAAACTGGCACATGGCTTGTCAGAACAAATGAGGCTAACGTAAAATGGCAATGGTGGACCTAATAAGTGGCATCGTAAACGGTGTAGAAGTGCCATTTGGTTGGGCATGAGGACTGACCCATCGAGTAATTCAAAAGCTCACAATCGCTATGTTGAAAAAACTTCGGCGCTGTTTTTATCCCTCGTATGGTTACTATGCGTAGAGGAGGACTCATATACGTACGCGCTGATTACCCCTTTGACATTTTAAAAAAAAAAAAAGTTAACGTTAAAGCTGAGGTGCTGAATTGGCGGGAGGTGGAAGAGGGATGGAGGGGAGCTGGGCAGTTCCGAAAATCATGACGTCATCCCCAACTGCCAAAATCGCAACAAGTGTAAAAAAAAATATCAAAAATGATCGTTCTGATTGGAGCGGCTTGCATAACTGTTCTTAACGCATTTCACATAAAGTGTAGCTAGAGATAATTATTAACGTCTACCGGCAAAAGTAACATCCTCCCGTTGGTGCTACTCCTCCGATTGGCATTCCTATGAGGGATGATTCTCCATTCTTGCTTCTTTCCCCGTGGTGTGTCCACCGGAGTCCATCCTCCTGGGGAATTCTCATTTGTGCTCAGCACCCCCCTCCACTGTGCGTTTCACTTATTTTGTGCCTTCGCCTTCCCTGAACTTGTAGATCTCGTGTGGCTTCTTTTATTGCTGTTCAAACTTTTCTTCCTACTCTTCTCCGTTACTGCGTCATTTTGGTGTTTCCCGTCCAATTGAGAAGGTCCATGGTGTTGCTTGTCTTCCCCTATGTGTTCCCTGTCCTCTTCCTGCCGCTCGCTTGTCGTCCCATCTTCCTGGTCACCTCCTTTAACATTTTTCAATAGTTCATTTTTCTTCTTATGAAATGCGTAAAGCAGATTTTCCGGTTGAGAATTCCTGTTTTTTTTTCTATGATCATCCATGTTGCTGGCCTTGCTTGGAGATCTCCCTTTGCGGGAACCAGCCAGGTCGTCCCGATCCGACACGGACATGCGCTCTCTGCATAAATTTTCATTCTTCGTTTTCACAAGTTTGTTTTTAATGATGACCTTATCTTTTGTGTCCTGAGACATTCCTTCCATGTAGGCATTGTAAAAGGAGGCCATTTCATCCATAAAGAGGAGATCATTTTTGACCTCCCCATTGGTGATAATGTTGGAGAAATTTGAAAAGGAATTTTCGTCCTCAAAATATGGGGAGCACAGGTGATTGCTTAGCAATTCGTAACAGACATTTGTTAGGTACGAGGTTGTACACTTGAAGGTAAAGGACCATCCACTGATGAGTAGCGTTTTTTTTTTTTCTTTCATTTGAATCTCTACATCGTCTTCGTCATTAATGGTAGATGAGTTGGCGTCACAGTTGTCCGAAGATTGTCTCTTCGAGGTGTTTACACCTATATCACGATCTCCATTTTTGGTGGACGAAGCTGCTTCCGGTGCATCTCCTCCGGAGAAGACAGAGGACGTGTCCTTTCCGCCTGTTTTGTCTTTCCCCTTCTTACCTTTTGATTGGTTCGAATGGTTACCCGGAGGGGTCTTACTGGGAGAGGTGTTCCTCGGAGTGGTGCTCCTGGAGTGTTTCCTTGGGGTGGTGGCTGCCACATCAGCCGTAGCGCTTGGCTCGACCTCCCCCTCCACCGCGGTCGCCATCCCCTCCGCAGCCGTCCCCGCCGCCGCTCCTTCCGTGACGCTGTCGGATTCACTCTTATCGGTATCGAGGGCGTTCTTCTTATAATCCGTCTTACACTTGACTAGCTTAAACTCGAGGTCTTCCATATAGTAGGACCACTGTGGGGCGGCATCCTCCACGTCGGAAAAAAAGTGAATAAAATTGTCCCACGTGATAACAATTACACCTTCCACGCACTTATTGAAGAGGCCTACACTGGTAAGGTACCCCTTGATCTTAGAATTGAAAAGGCAGAGTATCGATTTGACGTTAATTTCGTCATTATAGAAAATGATGGAGGATTTTATTAAGCTTAGTGCCTTCTTTAACTGGGGAATGGAATCACAATGGTCGTTAAGCTGAAAGGGAGAAACCTCTTTGATTAGATCGTCATCATCAATAATGGTCACAGAGGATAAATTCTGGAATTGAGTTGCCTCTATGTTTTTTTCAAGCAAAATAGAATCATATAGTATATTCATATTATTTAAGTAAAAATTTAAAAAGCTCTTATATAGAAGAATGTAAGAGCAAAGGATGTCCCTAATTGTGTTTTTTTTCCATTCGATCAATTGGAAGAAGGTTTTCACGCTGGAGTTAATGATTTCTAAATAATCATTTTGTATTTTTAGTAACTCCTTGACATTTTTGATGTATTTTCTTTGACATAACCAGGAGCATTTTATCTTCTTGCTATCTTTAATTCCATCTGATCTTATTTTCTCTGAATTGGAATAACTATTTTCGAAATATTTCCAATACATTTTACAGAGGTCTACTTGTTTTAAGAAGTCACTTTTTTTTTTCTTCATTGTATCCATCAGAGTTTCTTGTTCCTTCAAGTAGGTATCTTTTAATATGATTAACATTTTTTGATTTATTTTGCTGTCTATGACATCGCAACTGATTTTCATGCTGTTCATAATTTTGCGGTAATTCATGAATCCGTATTGCACCCAGTCGTCTATGATGCTGTGATTTAGGTTGCACATGTCTGCATTTACACCGATGACATTATCTGCAATTTCGTTTATTCTGTTTGAGGCCCTCCTCCCGTTGTTTTTCTTTAGAAAAGGTGTATCTGGGACATTTCCTTCCTGGGAGTTCCCTGCAATTTCTTCTTCTTTCTTGGGCCCCTTCTTCCTCTTTTCCTTTAAGTCGTCCATTTTGCTGTTCTTCTTTCCCTTTAACTTCCCCTCACTCACAATTGCAGAAGCTGTGCTTTCCTTTTTCTTCTTCAAATCGGTTACAGAGCCATTCGCTTGGCTGTTCAGGGGATCCTCCCTCTGCACGCTGCCATGATTTGCAGACGGCCCGTTGGGAAACTCCTCATCTGGAATGTTTAAAAAACTCTGGGTTAAATTATTCATCCGGCTGTTATTACCCCCCACGGAAACGCTTTTATTAGAATAGGTGGTATCATTTTTTATGAATTCTTTGAAGAATGTATTCAAATTGTTAATGTTATAGGCGCCATGCTTTAGTGCCTCCACCATTTTATCGCTTATCCTTTCGAGGAAGTTAATAAAGTTGTTGGTGCAGTTTTCCCTGCTCTTGTGATATTCCGTCATTTCGATGAAGTAGTACTTTTTGTAAACTTCGAAGAAGATTTTTTTTTTTTCATGCAGGGTAGTAGTTTGATTGTCTTCTTCTGGTGGGGTGTTTTCCCCCACCTGGATATCCGTCCCACTGATTTGCTTCTTCATTTTGTCATTCTTCTGTTGGTTCCCTTTATGATTACTCGCAGGACAACCTGCCTGTCTGATCGCTACCCCTCTCCCTCTTAGGGCACTTAAGTAGGTCTCTCTGATCTCGCGGGCCCAACCTGCTTCTTCTGATTTTCTGTTGCCCGAAGCTTCGCCCCTCGGCATAGTAACCGTGCGCGGTTTGGCCGGTTGACACTTTGGCCGTTTGACGGGTTGACGATTTACCGGTTAGCTAGGGATGGCTCGATCCGACACAGGCAAAGAGGACCGGTGCGCCCCCCCTGCCCCAGGTACAATGCGACAAGCTCGCGGTGTGCATCAATGACACCTGCCTAAGGTTCCACGTACTGTGCAGGTAGATTTACTCGGGACCATACACGAGAAGGAAAATTTAAACAATTTGACGAGGAGTTCATAAAAAAAGGGTTTAAAATGGGTAAGTGGTACATGGAGCAGGGCATAATCCAAATGTTTCTGGAGAAGAAAAAAAAAAAAAAACCAAAAGGGTAAACCTAACCCTGTGATAGAGTATAATATGAGGGTGTGCCCACAGGGGTGAATATAAACTCTAGGGATGCGAAGTCGCGCAAAAAAAATAAAAACGCACATACAATACATGTAATACAAGCGACACACGGCATGCGGTGTATGCCTTGTAAATCCATGCGCACCTATCCGTACTTCCTAACGCATCGCAAATGACACTGGTACCTGTTAAGGGCATATTTTTCCCTTTTTCAAGGGGGACCAGGATCAAGCTTTTTCTGGAAGGCACCTGAGCAGAGTTCCTCCAGAGGCGCTTCATTCTCAATTGCATCCCTCTCGCTTTGCCGTCGGGTTTTTATTTTGCTTCCCTTGGTGATATTCCTCGATGACCTAGTGTAACTTCACCTCATAGCACCTGTTCTCACTTCACCCTAGATTATTATACTTTTCCTACTGGCACAGCTGATGTGTACCCTCTGACACTCAGTGGGAGGAAGTAAAAAAACAAAAAAAAAAAAAATCGTTTGAACAAAAAATCGGCATACACGTGTTATGCTCCTTTACAGTGCAAAAGGACTAAATGCCGTTTTTCAAATTTGGGTTTACTTAAATTGGCCCCTTTTTTCTATTATAAGTCTCTACAGGGGACGGGGGTGAGAAACAGCACAACGAAAATTTCCCACACGGGACGAGGCACAATCCGCGTGTAACCATATTGACAAGAAAAAGAAAAAAAACAGAAAAAAAAGAGTCGTTTATTCTGCGTTTGCTATGTCAGTACACGCTTCCTCCACGGGACAGGAATAAAAAAAAAAAAGAAAAAAAAAGAACAGTGGGGAAAGCTCCTTTTCCCCTGAATGCCTCCCCCCATCTGATAAATCGCAAAATAAAAAATTGCATTTTTCTCTCTACAATTTAAAATGTTCTGTTAGCCATAGTGTGAAAAAAGAAAGGAAAAAAAAGCGATTAAATGGAGAGTTAACAAAATGGTGAAGCCGTCATGTGAAGATATCAGACAAATGCATTCTGTGTGTGTAGCACACTGGGGAATCGTTTCGATGTTTAAAAAAAAAAAAAGAGAAGAAGTCACTGCGGGGAGCAGTATACACAACGACTGTTAGATTTACAAATAAGGCGCGCCTTCGTGTAGGTGTGCATATTAAGGGATGCATGCAAAAACGACAAAGTGTTCACGTGTGGACGGCGGCATAACTGCACATTCTACTGCGCTGATAAGAGTGCACCGGTTTAAGGTGGGTAACATAAATTTAATTTGCGTGAACGGTGGGCGAGAAAACTGCAAAAAGAGGAAAAAATTAAAAAACGAGAATAATGCAAAATGTAGAGTTCATTTTGCAAAGCCTGATTTTCCGCCCAGCAGACGCAAGCGTACGATCACAGCTGTATCGTCACAACAGGATCGTCACAAACTCGGCCGTCACAAGTGGACCGTCGCAACAGTGTCGTCACAATAGTGTCGTCACAACAGTGTTGTCACAATTGGACCGTCGAAGCTGCACTTGTGTCCATGCCGCTCATTAAATGTAGCCCCTTTTAAAGCCATAATCAATAAACGAAAAAACAGCCGACGACAGCACAGAATAGCCACCCATAATTTTATAGCTGGAAGCACTTTTATATATGCTTCCAGCGAGGAAACCTGCTATGGAAGAATTGTACACTTCATCATTTTTTGTGAATAATTTTACCATATTATTAAGGGCGTAAAAGATCATGGTTATTGAGGCCATTTGATTGGCAACACTCGGCCCTATCACTGAAGTGGAATTCAAAACGGAGTTCACAAAAAGCTTCCTCGTTTTCCCTCCCTTCATGACTCCACTGATTAGCCCGCAACTCCCGCCTAGCAGAAGGCCTGTAAGATGGTGCGAAGGGGATGAATGTGTTGGGTGTATACTGCGGAGGGGGTGCTATTTTATGGCGTTTTAACCTATAAGAAAAACGTTCCCAAGAGTGAGGTGGGGGTCCCCTTTTTTGATGCAGCTACGAAGAGCCCTTGGTTTAAACACTATCCAGTAGGCAAACTGGTAGAGGGGGATGTTCCCCCCGGATGTCTCTTCGGCTTAGCCATTTACGCAGAGCGCACGGAGCAAAACGTAACCACCCAGTTGCACGAGTCAGCAGTTCCACTGTTCCCAATTGCACATGTGCCCAGTTTGCGACTCATTTTGAGGCGTACCTGAGCCGTAGGCCAAGCCGACGCTGTAGACCAGCTTCTCCCCCCACTGTCTACCATATCCTTGCAGATACAAATTTTGCTTGTCAAGCGATAACTTCTTCTCGGGTTTTTTTTTTAAAATTTCTAAATCATAGTTTATCGATCCCGTTTTTAAGTAATCTCCCATTATATTCCCCTCTGCGTTCTGTATGGTGTGTTACTCATTTATTTTGAGATAGCTGTGCTCCGTCGAATGGTTTCTTCGTCGAACAGTTCCTACGTGTGCTGCTCTCCTGCGGGGGGCGCGTGTTCGTTCGTTCTCCCTGGTGAGGTGTTCCCTTTTGCGTTTTTTTCTCTCGCTACTCCGTGCGGGACGCGGTTCATACAAACTTGCGTTGTTCCCTTTTTCCGCCAAAGGTTCGCAATACTGCTCTAAAATAATGCTTAATGGCAACAATGTGCCTCTACATAGTACGTCACAAACTTCCAGTGACGTGGTTTAAGCTAAAGAGGGCTGTCGAGGCAGAGGTTTGCAAAGAAATGGGCGCTCCGTGAGTCCGTAAATTTGTCAAATTTATCCTCCGTGGGTACATGTTCGCAAGGGGTGGATACGCCAATGCATATTTGTACGTAAAGTTAATATAGCCTTATATATACGCTTGTACCAGCGCTTATAAGTGTATGACTCGCCAAGTGCGCCTACCCTGCGTACGGGAAGTAGTCACCTGAAGCCTGCCTCGTAATTGTTCCTTCTAATTGTCCCTTCTTACAATTCGCAAACGATCGCTTTCTCTACTTAAGTCTCGTATTTTTAACTACTCCTTTTGTAGAGAAAAAAATGTATACATTTAATAAGAGCTTTGTGAAGTTCTGAACGCAAGTAAACATGGAGATCTACATGCCGCGAGTATACAAATGTGCTTAGCTTTACCGTCGCATGTTAAGGCGAATCACCGGGAAGCGACATACGAGTTAAGCTGCATACATAAGTGACTGCCTCTCGCGCGACATCTATGCAGTCTCCCGATGATCATAATGAGAAAATTCCCAAGGGGGACCTCTTTAGGATGCTTTCTCCCTATTTGCAACACATTCGTAAGTAAAAAAAAAAAAAAAAAAAATGGGCATTTTTTCTTACCAAATTTGTAACGCTATATTGTTGACATTTAAATGGCGTCATCCTCATTTTTTACTAGACCCCTTTGCAAAAAAGTACTTTGCTCAAAGTTGAGAAAATTTCCTATTTGTTCATAAACAAATGGGGCAATTTTATCTTTTAATTTTTTCTGCATAACTAGGGATTGATGTGCGCACGAAATTGTAACCTCCGCGTGAGGAAAGGAAAAAATATCGCATTGGAGAGGGGTATCCTGGCAGCGGCGCCTGTCCGTGGAGGATGTTGTTTTTTAGTCGGCCTGTTACAACAAGTGGTGAACAGTGAATGTATTTTCCCCCCACGGAAATGACGCATCATATGGTGAATATTTATATATATATATTTTTTTTTCTCTCCGTTTTGTTCAAAAGGACTGACCAGCATGAAATCAAGATATTCCGTGTGTGCCTTAGGTACGATCGAAGTTGTTTGGTTTCCCTTTTTGGTTTACCCCTGTGGGGGGGGAAAAGAACAGCGCAGCACGAACCTCAGTTCAGGATCATATATAAATGCTTATTCTTCTGTCATATCTTCGTTGTACTTATCCCCTTCCCTCGAGAGGTAACTACAACTGAAAGTGCTTCGAAAATGTGTGCACGTATGAAAGGGTACCTATCCGAATGACGACATTTTTTTTTCTGTTCTTCGATACGTAAATGTGTCACCCACATGCGGAGTCTCTCTTGTTACGCCTACACGAAAAGGTAACCAGCAGAAGCGTTCATTCTTCTCCAATGTTTTTTTCACACATACAACTGGGTATATATATGCGCAAACATAGTGGTGAACAAAATACAGGATGCACAAAAAAGTTGCACCAAATTGGAGTTCTCAAAAATCCCAAAATGGGAAAAGAAAAGAATTGCCATATCAACTAGTCTTTTCTGAACGCGAAATTAAGTGAATAGTAACGGGAACACTCCATGGTATAATAACGGTAACTTAACACCTCCACTCGTAAGTAATTTTCTGCCTGCATCGTTAAACGGAGCATGGTATAGAGATATACACCATTTGGTAGATTCTTTTTTTTTCCCACCCATCGGTTATGCATTAAATGGGAACGGCAGTCTTTCCCCATCCATTTCACTCGGTTAGCATGTCTTCACTTTATCTGTTTATGTGAGATCCTCTTGAAGGCTGCATTTGTTTAATGTGCCACTGGTCTACCTTAGTGGCTTGCCCTTATGTCCGTTGCGCACAGAGGGTTTGAGCCAGAGGTGGGCCACAAAAACGGAAAACAGATACATATAGATATACATTTAAATGCACAAAAAAACAGTCATACGTACGTGAGTATGTATATGAACTGTTTTTATTTTTTTGCATTTTAAAAGATTCTAC